CGCTGCCTTCCTTGGGGCACATTTCTAATTCGCATTTTCGCAGCAGAGCAAGAAAAGAAAATTAAAGAAAGCATGCATCCCGATTAACACTTGTTGGAAGGGTTAGCCCCAGGACGACGTTTTAGTTCTACCGCTTCTCAGACAGAGCGTTTGAGGGACAGCTTTTACCCTTGGGCCCTGTGAACGTTATCGCATGCTGGCAATTTTTAACGTATTTTCTTCATCCGATGAAGTGCATGTTTTTGCGCGCGCGTGTGTGTATGTGTGTGTGTGTGTTGGCGCACCTCGTGACTGCTGTCCAACTTCATAGTCCTTTGCACAGTGAAGAGAATAATAAATAAATAGATATCTGTCTATATTTCTGAGATGAGATATTTTAACCATTCACACTATTTACATTGTTCGCAATGTTGTCCTCATCTTTATTGTAATATTCACGACATTTCGGCCGTTGTACGCTCCGGCCTTCTAGATTAGTGTATATTTCTGAGATGATGTATTACAACTATTCACACTATTTACATTGATCGGACCTCATTTTTTATTGTCCCCAAGAACACATATCACAGTGGATAAAAGCCTTGATTGAAGTAATAAAGTGACTTGACCCAAAGGGTTGTCAGTTCAATACCTAGCCATAGCAGGGATAAGCAAAAAATCTTGGAGAATTTAGTTACTAAAAGAGAATTAACTGAAACTGAGATATAGAGAAAGACTCATGGCACGTGGAAGGAGAATAATCTACCCTGGTGAACGAAATAAAGCTTTTCGTTCGAAATTCCAACGTATATAATCTGAAGAAGGCCGGAGCGTAGAACGGCCGAAAAGTCGTGGATATGACAATAAAGATGAAGACCATAGTCCGAACAATGTAAACAGTGAAAATAAATAAAAAAAATGTCTATAGAATATTAATTTTCAATTCATTTTTACAGTATAATCGTTTATAATGCTTTTCTACAGTAAAATCATTTCCAACGCAATTCTATAGTGAAATCCTTTTAAATGGATTCTACATTAAAATGATTTTCATTTCATTTTTACAAAAAAATATTTTTACAAAGCATTCCTACCGAATCATTTTCTACGCTAAAAGATTTTAATATATTCAGTCAGTTTTCTTCCGATACATGACTGACGAAGCAGATTTTTCCCGCAGGAGGTTGCCTTTTCGATAGAGCAATTGCCATCCAAAGCTACAAAATCCGTTCTGTCTAGCTATTTACCCATAGCTTGTGGCAGGGGGTGGAGAAGAAGAAAAAGATTTGTACCTTTCCCAATTAAGAGAATGTAAGGGATTCGACTGGAATTCGAACTCGGCTCTCCGATTCTCTCAATGGGAGCCGCCATCCATTATTCCACTACGCTTGCTTCGTATTATTATTAGAGTAAAATAGCTTACAATTTACATTTATAGTAAATTATTCTTTGTAATTTTCGATTATAATATTAATTTGGCGTTAATATTATACATACACTGACCCTATTTTGTCTACCAATAAGGTGTGTATTAATTACTTAATACCGACAATCCTTTCTTTTAGATTTTCAAATCACACAAAAGCATCTTCCTAATGCATACAATAACATCTGTTATATTAGTAATGGTTGAATTAAGTCCTGACCACTGAAAATCAATTTCTTGTTCATTTGAAAAGCACTGCTATAGTAAAAGCATTAGTTATGCATATACATATATTTGCACTATTTTTCAGTTGCACATGCCTTAAATCGGGACAATCCACTTCTTCAAGATTTGAATGCATTTCTGTCTAAAAAAAAAAATTACCACGCTTTTGCATGAAACATATAATACTCCTTGTTCCCGGCAGTAATATTTACATTCATTGCTGATCACTGACAATTTCTTTCTTCATCATTTTCAGTGAAAATTTATGGTAAAGCAATTAGCTATGAATTTACATTATTTATATTATATATATATATATATATATATATATATATATTGCCCTAATCTCTTTGTAATATTTAAAAGAATTCCTGACCATTGACAACTCTCTTCCTTCATCATTCTCAATGCATTTTTACAGTAAAATAATTAGCAATACATTTGTCTTATGCTAATAATTGCTCTTTTCTTTTAATACTGTTTACAGTAAATCGTGACTATTGACAAGCCTGTTCGTATTTTCAACGTATCTCTATAGTAAAACAATTAGGAATGCATTTACATTATTTTATATATGAGTTAGCAGATATAGGTTCATAGAGGTGCCAACGAAAGATGTACGTTCCATAAATAGTTAACTGGAAATTTGCTCTGTCTCAAAATGGTCTCACTTGGCCAAATTAATAGCTTCACGTTTCGTCAGAAAAAGAAGCGGTGTTACTAGATGGAGGTTCGATCACTGTTGGGAGGCAAAATGTTTCTCTAGTAGGACTTCTCGATATAGGCCGGTTGATACTAATTTCACTGCGTAAGAAAAGGAAAAACAGGGATAACAACTCAAAGATATGTACCCACTAAAATAACGTTTATAGCAATTAGAAATAATAATGTTTTTAAACATTAACAAATATTATATATCTAATTAACTTTATTTTTGAAATTTGAAAGTGTTATATACCGTGGGGGTAATATGCTGTATAAGTAGTCCACGACTAGCAGTGGTTTACCTACTTCACGCTGCTGGCGAGTATTGTATTTTGTTGATGTTATGAAGATTACCATTTCATTTCCAATCTGTTTTAGTTATTCCTCATTCAGTAACTCTTTCTAGTTACAATAGATAGATAGATATGAACAGAATGAGATAGATATGAAACGAACTAAGATATAGATAGATATGAACTGACTCAGATATGAAAATAATTTAGATAGATAGTGTTATATACCGTACCTATGAACACTAATGAGTATGTCCCAGTCCTCATAAATACGTTGGACGCTATTGTAAGTGGGGGTAATATGCTGTATAAGTAGTCCACTGCTAGAAGTAGTTTACCTATTCATGCCGCTAGCGAGTATTATATTTTATTGACGTTATAAAGATTACCATTTCATTTCCATTCTCCGTTTTGGTTATTCCTCATTCAATAACCTTTTCTAATTTAGAACAGAAAGAAAATCTACTTTTTGATTGATTACGAGTAAAAAAAATACCCCAAAATAATTATTACGAAACAAAAGAAATTGAAAGCAATGTATTAGCCACCCTCTTTTTAATGTACAATGTACCTTCAGATCGTGAGCGATAATGGGTCTCGCCATCTTCTTGCCTCTTGTGGCGCTCAGTAAGTTTTGACTATTTACCACAATCCTCATTATTCTTGTTTTACCATCCATTCATCCAAATTAGTTCACTTGATTTTTCCCCCTACATCTCATGCTTTCAGTATCACATGAAAGTCTTCATTTTCTATTCTACCATTATTATATGTCCAAGAAATTTAGACTCATTCTGATTGTAACTATAAGTGCCTTTTTCTTTCCTCTGATCCTCTGTTTACTAATAAGATGTTTACTTATTGGCGTCGTGTAATAATAAGATGTTTACTTATGGCGTCGGAATATTTCATTATAAAGTAGGGGTGATCAGAATGCGTGTAAAGTCACATTATTATTATTATTATTATTATTATTATTATTATTATTACTTTATTTCCGTTAATTTCTCGTGTATATACAGTTCTTTCCGGTTCCCAAGCAGAAACCTAAGATCAGAAATGGCATTTCCCGCTGAGCATTTACAAAAGAAAAAGAAAAAATAATAACAACTAAGATCACACACATTTTACATAGATAAAGCTCATCGTAAGTGTGAGCTGTACTTGTGAGTACAATCTTTTGTATTTCGTTAAGGCATGGGTTTACCAGGAATCACTTCTGTGAGTCTATCGGGACCTTTTCCAGTCAAACCGAAGGCTCCAACTAGAGCTGGAATTACTGATGTTCTCACGTGTCACATTTTTTAGATATCGATTTCAAGGTCCTTGTACTTTGATAGTTTATTATTATTATTGTTGTTGTTGTTACTGTTGTTGTTGTTTTTATATTTTGCCTTCAGTTCCGTATAATCACTTGCCAGATTATTACTCGTAACCTAGAAGTAAGGTAAGTTCGTAGATATGTGCATAAGTAAGTAAGGTAAGTTCGTAGATTTGTACAAATCCTGATGTTAGGTGATACTTAACATATACAGTATTTATCTTTCTTTTACATTGATAATAATCTCTTGAGTATATATGCAGTTCCACACTGCATAATTTTTGTAATTTATCGTAAACAGGGTCTATCAGGAATCTCATTAATGTGACTCTTCTTTTTCTTCTTCTTCTTCTTCTTCTTCTACTTATTATTATTATTATTATTATTATTATTATTATTATTATTATTATTATTTTTAAATCATGTTAAACATACTGGCAGGAGAAAGCCTATCACTCATGGAATTCGTTTTTTTATGTTTTGAACTGTTTATTGCTGATTAAACGTGACTGTTAAATTCAGTTCTAAAATAGGAATAAAAAAAAACATAATATGACTCTTTAAGGACTTGAGGAAGTAATTGAAGTCAGCAATGTTTTTTTTTTCTTGAAGAAAATTCATTTGCGAGCTGATTCAATCAAATTTATATCATTTTAATGAACGTGTTCTTTGATTTCAGAACAAAAATTACATCTAAAAAACAACAATGACAAAAAAAACGGAATTTTATAAAACGAAACGAAAGAAAAAAGTAAACTTTAAGGTATCTTTAAAAAAAAACAACCTTCGCTGCATTAACCGTTCGAAGGGCGAATTTGAATATTTCTAGTTATTTTAAATGGAATCATTTTCTTTTCTGTTGCCCTTTACATCTCATCAAGATTTCGTTAGAATTGCCAGTAATCTCCATTGAAAAATAAATAAATAAATAAATAAAACAGAAGAAACCTTTGGTATTAAAGCCGTTGTTTCTTCCCCTTTTTCTCGACTGATTACATAGTTTAACTCGCGTTTCTCAATAAACTCAGTACTTCACTGAAACAAAAAAGGAGAAAACGTGAAAGTAGGCAGGTCGCGTTGCCTCAATTCTTGAAGTACTTAAGACCTGCCGACCTGCCCACAGTTATCTCACATAGATTTACTTAAAAACGAGCAAAAAATGCGGAAAGAAAAACAAAACAAAAAACGTTAAAGACAAAATCAGTGAGATATTAGGTAGTTTACAAAGTAATTACGTTTGAAAAGGCAAGCATATAAAAAACAAATCTATATTAAATTTAAGTTACCATGTTCGGAAAGAAAATGCGTTGGAAAGGAAATCATATAAAAACAGAAATTAATTTTATTTAAATACAATTCATCAAAAAATGTAATCACCTTTATCTCAAACAGTGTAGCCGATTCCACGTTTCAAGAAGTTTGCATTTTTTTCCCGAAGAGATTTTCGAAGGACTGTTTTCAGCTTCTTTATTTCTTAGTATTCTACCAATTTTCTAATGACTGGAGCAAATGAAAAACTTTTGGCGTTAAATCTGGTGAACATGGACGATGTGGAAGAACTTCACATCCCAAAGACATCATTTTCCTTGGGTTTGTTTTGCAGTGTTTTTCCTTGCTGAAGAGTGAAAGCTTTACTGTTTACCAAAGTAAGACAATCTCGCTTCGTTTAGTCAAGCTGCTCACAATAAATGCCCGCAGCGGTGATCCTTCCATGCTTCAACTACTCGTAATGGACGACACCTTTCAAAACTCATCAGGCACAAAGTAAGGACTTGTGTATAGAGTTCTCTTTCTAATGTTAAAACTTTTAAATATATCTTCGTGAAACATCAATTAGGGATTCCATTTTGGACGATGTTTATTTTGCAACATTGAAGTTTCTTTGAGTAGGACTCAATAAAGAGTCAACAAACTATTTATCGTGCATGCTCTTGTATAAGTCAAGTTTTAACCGGTTGACTGCTAGAGGACAGTTACGAAATTTGACTTCAAACGCCAAATTTATAATAGCCAACTTAGACAATATTTTTTTAATGCTTAGTTTACGTGTTTTATTGTTAATATGTTGCTTTTGCCATATAATGTTTGGTTTTAGTTGACACTACGGATTTTTATTCCTGCTTTACACGCTGGGTACTATTTATTTGCGAAAAGAGTCGTGGTTGAGGTCTTGATAGCAAGATCACGAAAACGAATCAAATCGTGGTCGGTGTAATAATAAAAAACCGTCAATCATATCGTGATTAGTAGTTACTATGCTAAAACAATTCACGAGGTGTGACAATTTAATTCTCCGAACAAGCGCAGCATGTCGCTAATATGCCAGGAAAACATTTGTATTCGAGTTCTTCCAGCTGTGTTAAAATTTCCATTTTTATTTTTATACAAAGACCTGATGCCGAGCAGTAGAGGAAGTTGTATGTGTTTATGTGATACAATTAACGCAAAGTGATTGAAAATAAGTTAGAGTAGCGGATAAAGATTTAGATTTTAAAAAAAGTGCTAATGAAACGCTAATGCTATTAAGAATGGGTTATAGTAAACGTGCTATGAAGAAATCGTTTTTTTTTTTCTTTGACTGATACGATGCGAAGATGCGCACAAGGGCAATCCCAAAGAGTAGATGCAAATGTGAACAGAGTGCGAATGTTGGTGCTCTCAGATCGAAGACTGACAGATGAGAGCGTAGGAACTTCATGTGACTAGGGAAATAGTACAGCGGATTCTAGGTGGATTTGGGAATCCCAAAACTGACACCTTAAGAGATCATGTGTTTCGAATTAAGAAGGGCATTACAAAAGTCGACCATCCCCGTTCTTCCCAAGACTTAATCCATTGTGATTTTTGACTATTTCTAAAATTTAAAAAAAAATTGTCCGGAAGTAGAAATATTTGCTAACATCCAGCAACATCACAAACAAAAAAAATCAAGCGTAAACATCTATTGAAGATCGGCTTATACGAGAATGCAGATACAGAAAATGGTCTATTTATTCTTGAGAATTCTAAAACGTTTTCAAACTTTCTGAAGCAAAGTGGGCTGGATATATACAGAGTACGTAAGGTAATTTTCAAAAATAATTTGTAAACAGGTTCAGTTTTGAAAAGCAGTAAAAGGCCCTCAACGTCAAAGACAATCTTGGGAGTGAATGGATGCCCAGATCAATTCGTTCTCAATCATGTTGACCAAAACATCAATGAAGACGGCCTTCAGCGTGTGCTTCACATTGTGGAGTGGTTAATTGGTCTTTGTAACGACGGTGGGGGGCATACAGAGTTGTCAAGAAGGGTCATATTACATTAGCGTCTATTCATATCTATCGATGTTCGTTTTTGCCCACTCTCTCTACCTATTAACCACAGTACACTCTCGATCTAGCGCCTGTACTTAATCAGTCTTAATCTGTTCCTATCTATCTATCTATCTATCTATCTATCTATTTCATTCTCATTCGTATTTATCTATCTCATTTTCATTCTTATCTATCTATCTATCTATCTATCTATCTATCTATCTATCTATTTCATTCTCATTCGTATCTATCTATCTA